GAATAACAAGTGTAATATCCACTAAAGCAAAGCTTAAGTATATAACACCAACATAGACATGTTCTTGAGGAGTTAAAGGGAAGGAGTACTTCAATACCGAGTGCGCTAGATGTTACACCACAAAGTACTGCAACACGTATCGTTGACGTTGCACCTGAGCAGGTAGTACCTCGTCGTAGTGGGACGGTTGTCCGGTAGCCCGAACGGTTCATGGGTCTGGGAGAGTCTTTTGAGGCCGTCACAGACGTTCTTGAATCCGATCCATGGACATACAATGAGGCACTCCAAGATCGGGACGCAGAGTCATGGCAAAAGGCGATGAAATCTGAAATAGAGTCAATGGACACTAATCAGGTCTGGGATCTTGTAGAGCCACCCAGTGGTGTTCGCGCCATTGGATGTAAGTGGTTCTATAAGAGAAAGAGAAGATCAGATGGGAAGGTTGAGACCTTCAAAGCTAGGCTTGTTGCGAAAGGGTACACTCAGAAAGAAGGGATCGATTATGAGGAAACCTTTTTGCCGGTAGCCATGCTCAAATCCATCAGGATTCTCTTGGCTGTGGCCGCTCATATGGATTATGAGATTTGGTAAATGGATGTTAAAACCGCTTTCCTTAACGGGAATTTGGACGAGGACATCTATATGCAGCAACCAGAAGGATTCATTGCAAAGGGCCAGGAGCATCTGGTCTGCAAGCTGAAGAGGTCCATTTATGGGCTGAAGCAGGCTTCAAGGTCTTGGAACATCCGTTTTGACGAGGTTGTCCAATCGTATGGATTTACCCAATGTCCGGATGAGCACTGTGTGTACAAGAAAAGTGATGGAAACGTGGTGGTGTTTCTAGGGCTGTACGTGGATGATATTCTTCTCATTGGAAACAGTGTGAAGATGTTGTCAGACGTAAAGGTATGGTTATCCAAGCAGTTTGATATGAAGGATTTGGGTGAAGTAGGACATGTTCTCGGAATCAAGGTTATTCGCGACCGAGAGAAGAGAAAGTTGTGCCTATCCCAATCCACATACATAGACACTGTCCTAAAGCGTTTCAACATGCAGGATTCCAAGAAAGGGGATTTGCCCTTTCGACATAGAATACATCTATCTAAGAGGATGTCCCCGAAGACGCCTCAAGAGATAGAGGACATGAAGGCAGTTCCTTATGCATCGGCAGTAGGAAGCCTCATGTATGCTATGTTGTGCACGCGACCTGATATTTGCTATGCCGTGGGCATGGTAGCAAGATATCAGAGTAATCCAGGACCGGAACATTGGTCTGCGGTAAAGCATATACTCAAGTACCTTCGTACAACTAAGGAGTACATGTTGATTTACCAGGCAGATGAGTTGCTTCCATTGGGTTACACCGATTCTGACTTCCAGGCAGACCGGGACGAAAGCAAGTCAACCTCAAGGTTTGTGTTTACTTTAGGAAGAGGAGCCATAGTATGGAGAAGTGTCAAGCAGAAATGCGTGGCGGACTCAACCATAGAGGCTGAGTATGTAGCAGC